GCATTTCAGCGGACTGAAAATGGAATCTCTCACGGAGTTCAGCATTTTCTCCCACTTGTGGGAAAACGCCATGAAACACACATACACGTACGTACGAACATTCGCCAAAATACAAACTCTTTACGTTCACACACAAACACAAATTTTGATGTCTTTGTCACTTGTAAATTTGTTGTTTAATACATATATTTGTTTATATATATATATATATATATATATATATATATATATATATATATATATATATATATATTGATCTTGTATATATTGATCTTGTTTGTTTTCTTTACATTTTCGGTTGGACTCAACTTGAGTCCGCCATTGTTCTTATAATTGGACCTTCTTCTAGCAGGAATAAACAGCACGTGTCCCTAATTCAACAACACGTTAACCCACACTGTCTTCTACAATCTAGAGATACAAGCACGCCAATGATTACACCACATTGATGTGCTCAAACGATTTACTAAGCGTAAATTAGATGTGGCACAGGGCTGAAATTATGGAGTACCGAGTGAGGATTGAATCCATGACTCAGTCGTAACTTGATCAGCGAAACAAGTGTGTTAATCAATAGACCACAGCGAAATTCCTGGAGAACGCGGGGAAAGGTGAGCATTAAAAAGTACAAGAATTTGTTTTGTACATTGGAACTCCTAATATCAATATTCTCATTCATAAAAAAAAACGAATGAACTCGGTTTATGAAACTGGGTTCATGTAACGTAGTACGCTCTACATACATAGTGCCTGCCGATTGGTTAATCGAATATGACTGTTTCTAACACATTAACATAATTTAAAAGAACTACTGCATTGGCAGCTTACACAGTAACTAATTTTACACTAAATCGTAAATGTGTGTTAAAAAATATGTTTATTAATGAAAATCATATAAATATAAATTTCTATCGACAAATTGAAATTTGGTATTTTCGAGCTGTCGCCTATCTAGGTACTGACAAGGCTTGATGTTGCTTAACTTTAGTGATTGTACAAGAGTCAATTCTTCAAGATGATGTGGCCGTACGCCCAAGAAAGAAAGGAAGAGAAACAAAGAATAAAATAAATAAAAAAGAAATAATGGAAAAAAAGAAAGAGAAAAAGAAGAAAAAGAAATGGGATAAAAAAGAAAGAGCGAAAATAAAATGTAAATAAGATAAAATTTTAATATGAAAAAAATAAAGAAAAAAAGCACGAGAAGCAAATAATAAAGAACCATAAAAATAGTAATATGTAAAAGAGAGAAAAAAGAAAAAGCGAAAATGAACGAAAAGCTATTGAAAATGAATGAAAAAAAGGACAAATTAAATAAGGAAACAATTGAAAAAAAATTAAAAATTAAAAGGGAAATCGAAAAAGGAGAAAAGAAAAAGAAAAAGGAGAAAAGAAAAAAGGAAGACGAAAAAATGAAAAAAGGAAGACAAAAAAACGGAAGAAGAAAAAAAAATCAAAAAAGAAAGAGAAAAAACGAAAAAAGGAAGAGAAAAAAGTAACAAAAAAGAAAAAAAGAAAGAGAAAAAGGGGAAAAAGAAAAAAGGAGAAAAGAAAAAAGAAAGAGAAAAAAGGAAAAAGAAAGAGAAAAAAAAACCTCATGTCTTTTGCTGTCCTAATATTTACTCCTTTACAACCCTCTTTGTCCTGCCATCAAACTTCTCAATAGGTTTACTCACTGCATCCCTTGCTTCGTTGTGTGTGCTAAGTTCTCCAGGCTTTCTTTTCTCATTATACCTCCTCCTGATAGTTAGCATCACTTTCCTTGTAGTTCCTATTCTACTTAGAACTTCCTCATTTATCATATGTTATGTCCATGGTATTCTTAGAAATATTCAATAGAATCACATATTGGTCGGTTCAAGTCTTTTCTCCACCTGTGAGAGAATTGTCCAGCAATCATTACCACGGAGGAGATTAGTCCCTGAGAACATTTTTTTGATCCCTTAATACTTGGCCCAGTCTCTGAAAAGCATCTTTCATGATTGCTAGGTGCCTTATTCGTGGTCTATTAGAGAATGAAGCCTGTTGGTCTTAGCAGGGACCATCATTCTTCTTTCAACAATAGCAACAACTAAAATGGACAGCATATGTTACCTGTAGTGGATTCACGATGGAGTAATGGTTAGCGGCTTGGATTGAGGAATCGGAGTTCGAATTCCAGTTGAATTTGTTACATTCAATTACATGCAAATACCTGTAGGGAAGGTATGAATCCATCTCTTCTTCCAGGACAGACTGGGTTCTATAGTCTTGGATGGCAACCAGTCTAGGAGAAGGACAATTCTAAATTCAAAATCTTATGTGGCGCCGTCGAAGCAGCTAATGAAAGGATCGATGAATTTGCAATTCATTTGTGGTCAAGGCTGACTGATGTCGAGATCACAGATGATGATGAGTAAGATGTAACTCGAAGTGAAAATAATGATATAATGAAAATGTTGACATTCCACACTACTTCAAACAAAAGCTTAGGAAGGAAACCCTTATCAATAGTGGAAAGAAAAATAACAGATACTGAACTTGAGAAACCTATTTATCGGGAAAATGACATTGTCCAATAAAATTTAACTTTTTGTCAACTACGAAGATAAGAATGTTGTTTTCTCGGGTCCTTTTGATTATCAAAATAACATTCACTTTTTATGAATTGACTCCAGTTTTTTGTAAGTTGCCAACTACCATTTATTTAAAAAAAATAAAATCTTTTACTTCCTATTTTCGGATTATACAAAAAAATTTAATTCCAAATGGCGAGAGGAAAATGTAAAAATAGTCCCAATAAATTCTCCTATATATGTGGCTCTGTAACATTTAAAAACAATAAAAGAAATATTAACCCGTTTGTTAAAAAAAAACAAAACTATACAATTTATATTTTGGAATCAAACTTGACAACCAAGATAAATCATGGACATCACATATCTGCTGTAAAACATGCTTCAATGTTCTCTCAAAATGGTCAAAAAGAATATTAAAAAAAACTTCCATTAGGAGTGCCAATGGTATGGCATGAACCCCATCATCACGCCACTGACTGTTACTTCTGATTAGTAGACATAAAAAGTATATTTTATTTCTATTCAGCCTCAATACCGAGACATGTAGAACTATTTTCATAATTTCATACACGTTAGGATTAGCATATACTTATGTTTTATGTATATTAATCTATTTTTCAAGTTTAAAAACGAAGAGTGCTTCATCAGTGGTATATCCTAAAATTAAATCTGCTATTAGGCCTGTACAGCGCTCAGAAGAAGCTCTCAAGAGTGTTTCATCAGTGGGTATATCCCAACCTTAAAGCTGCTATTAGGCCTGTACAGCGCTCAGAAGAAGCTCTCAAGAGTGTTTCATCAGTGGGTATATCCCAACCTTAAATCTGCTATTAGGCCTGTACAGCGCTCAGAAGAAGCTCTCAAGAGTGTTTCATCAGTGGGTATATCCCAACCTTAAATCTGCTATTAGGCCTGTACAGCGCTCAGAAGAAGCTCTCAAGAGTGTTTCATCAGTGGGTATATCCCAACCTTAAATCTGCTATTAGGCCTGTACAGCGCTCAGAAGAAGCTCTCAAGAGTGTTTCATCAGTGGGTATATCCCAACCTTAAATCTGCTATTAGGCCTGTACAGTGCCCAGAAGTTCCAGTACCTGAACCACTCAAAGAAATTGTCCTGTCTAATTCAGATGAAGACGACGATACCGATGCTCCAGAATTTGAATCTCATGTGCCAAAACCTTTGTCACTGCATGATCTTAATGATCTCAAAAGAGATTTAGACTTGACAAAACAGCAGAATGAGCTGTTCACTCTGAGGCTAAAAGAAAGAAATTTAGTAACACACAATGTTCAAATTACTGTTTTTTACTCTCATGGACACTTTACAAGAAACGTTTTCTTATGACAACAATTTATGTTACTGTAAAGATATACTCGGACATTTTGAAGAACTAAATTTGCAGTATGAGTCTACTCATTATTAGTTTTTCATTGACACCTCTCTTTATAGAACCAAAGTCATGCTTTTACGTATTGGAAATATACTGCCATTGATTCTTTTAGTTCATTCTGCTGTTTTAAAAGAAACTCAAGAAAATCTTGATTTTGTTTTAAACAAAATGAAATACAATGAACATAAATGGTTAATCTGTGTAGATCATTATGTAGTCACTATTTTGAATGGATTGCTGGCAGACTATACGAAATTTATATCCTTTTTGTGTCAGTGGGACAGCTGAGCTTAAGGTGAACACTTCACATGCACAGAATGGCCATTAAGAAATGTGCCAATTCACATAATGTTATATGTGAACCCTTAGAAGTATTCAAGGAAAACATGATTTTACCACTACTTCATATAAAAGTGGGCTTAATGAAACAATTTGTGAAAGCCTTAAAACAATAATAATTTCCAAGGCTTAGTTGTAGGTGTTTGTTTGTTTAACGGCATATCAACACCTCTATGGGTCATTTAATATTGAAATTTAATTTTCTTAGGAGCATTAGTAATTTCTTATACAAAAGTGTATTGCTGGACATTTTTTTTACGATGAGAATGCATTGCTGGTATTTCGACTATAGAAAATATTTATACTTTGATTGTGTTTTGACCCCAGTTTGGGGATTAACTATGTGCCCATATCTGGAACTCTAACAGGTGCTACCACTCTGCGAAGGCTTAGTGATGCTAAAATTAAAGAGGGAAACTTTGTCAGGCTTCAAATTCAACAGCTCATGAGAGACAATGAATTTGAAGCAACATTAAATGAATTGGAATTGGAGACTTAGAAAAGTGTCAAAGGTGCGTGTCATGGTCTCCCTGGAAGGCATAAAATGCTAAACTATGAAATACGAGTTCAAAATATGATTGAAGCAGATAAAAATATAGGATGCAGGATGTCACTAAAGGTGCATTTTTTGCACTCACATCTGTGGTATTTCACGGAAAACGCAGCAGACAAACATGGGAAAAAAGTTTCTCCAAGATATTGTCAAAATAGAAAATTGTTATAAAGGCAAGTGGAGTCCTGTTACGCGAGTTGGTTTTTGCTGGACTCTCCATAGAGACAGGCTAGATACTAAACATGGAAAAAAGAACAAATACTCTAAAAAGTAAATTTTTTTTTTTACTAAGAATATTCTTTTAATAAATAAGCCTGTGTTTCATGATACTTTTTAAATGAAATGAAACGTTTATATGAACATGTTTAATGCCTATACATATACTCATAAATCCAAATTTTTCGAAATTTGGAAAAATTTAATTTGTAAATTACAAAGAAACTGGAGTCATTTTGTAATAAATGGAATTCCTTTTCTTGATCGACTCAAAAACAATTGTAGAAAACTGAATGATTCTTTTCTGTAGTAAAATCATTGTTGGACAATGTTATTTTAATAGAAAGTTTTTATTAATTACAGCCGAATGTAGCACTGGCTGTTTGGTAAATGAATGCCGAATATTTCCTTATAAGTAAATGGTTAATATTACCGTTACTATTACTAAACAACCAAGGTAGTTAACTTTCCAAAGATTTTACTCCATGTTTTGAACATATGGTGTCTTAAATGTTATGGCGTCTTATAACTTATGCTACTTAAATACCACACTAACCCGGGCAACACCAGACAACCTTACTACTGCAGAAGGAAATAAGGAAATAAACAAATAAATAAATGGATATGTATGCGCGCGTGTGTGTGTCTGTGTGTGTGCTCAGGAGTTCGCGCATGCGCACTGACGTGGGCGGTCATCGCCAAAGAATTGAGTTGAATCCACGTCTTCATTGTTTGCTAATTGCATCATTTTGCTTTTCTCTCGCAGACGATTTTTTCGTCTTATTCTTTTCCTCGAAGCCAACGGTGTGCAGAGCAGTACTTCTTTCTTCTATTTTTTATTTTCTTTATTTAATTCTATTTTGTATTTTAACAATAGAATGGATCCGAGGTCGATGCTGTGAGTGTGAAAGAAACCAATTAAACCCGGAACGATAGAGAGGAAGATAGAGAGAGTGGGTACAGAAAAAAGACAGAAAAGTTTAAGATCACAAGCAGAAACAATAAGAAAGAAAGAAAGTAAGTAAAATGAGGGGCTGAAACGTGAGGACGAACAAAGACAAAGAAGAGATGAAAGAATTCTACGAACAAAACAATGAAGTGAGACGTACAAAAATAAAACAGGCAAAGTCCGAAGAAAAAGAAAGTGAGTAAAGGATTAAAAGATACTCTTTCTTATATATTCTCTTCATTTGCAAAAAGAAAACGAGAAAGAGCATAAGGGAATTGTGTATATGTGTGTGTGTGTGTGTGTGTGTGTGCGAGAGAGAGAGAGAGGGAGAGAGAGAAAGAGAAAAAGAGTAAGAACAGGATTGAGAGAATATTGTGTTTGAGAGAGAGAAAGGGATAGAAAATAAAAAGAGTAAGAAAGAGAATGAAAATAGAGTGCGTGAGAAGGAGAGAGAAAGAGCACAATAGCATAGTGTATAAGTGTATTCATGAGATAGATAGTGAGAGAGAGAGTGTGTGAATGAGGGAGAGAGACAGAGAATGAAAGAGCAGTGTAAATGTGTAAGTAAGTGGGAGAGAAAAAGGGCGAAAACAGGAGAGAGTGGTGTGAAATGTGTGTAAGAGAAAGGGAGAAAGAGAGAAAAAGAGCAAGAAACAAAATGAGAGTAGTGTGTGACTGAGAAAGAAAAGTCCCATGGGAAAAGAGAATGAGCGATTTTTGTATGTATGTGTGTGTGTGTGTGTGTGTGCGTGTGTGTGTGTGAGAGAGAGAGAGAGAGAGAGAGAGAGCGGGAGATATAGAGAGAAATAGGACAAAGAGAATGAGAGAGTAGTATGCGTGCGAGAGAGTGGTGATAAGCTATTAGTGTATATGTGTGTGTGTGTGTGTGGGAAGAAATAAGAGTAAGAAAGAAAACGAGAGAGTATTGTATGAGCGTGCGTGTCTGAGAGAGAGAGAAAAAGAGAGAGAGAGAAAGAGAGAGAGAGAAAGAGAGATAGAGAAAGAGTAAATGAACGAGAAAGAGAATGAGAGATTAGTGTGTGTGTGTGTATTTGTGTGTGAGAGAGGTAGATAGAGAAAGAGAAAGTGGTGTATGCACACAGGTAAGAGAAAAAGAAGTGTGTGTGTGTGTGTGTGTGAGTGAGTGAGTGTGAGAGGGAGGGGTGGGAGAAAAGAAGAGAAGAAGTGTCTAAAGCCTTGAATAAGACTCAGCAAATGTTCTTTGAAGGATTGTTTGTCGTAGACTTTAATGAGAAGAGCTCCAAATCAGCCTGTGTCAACTCTACCCCGTCTCCACTGATATTTTTTTCTACCAGACCCCACTTGTAACCCATAGCCGATACAATAACAATATGACTACATGTGGGCGGTCGTGCCACGAGATTCTTATAAGCCAGTTCTCTCTTAAGTTTCATAAATTTTACATGTGCCAAAAGAATTAATAAAGAACTATTAATTTTATTTATTATCACATTATTTCCATATTTTTTGAATAAATATACTCTAAATGAAATTAAATAAAGAAAAAATACGATATATAATTTAAAAACATTACAGACGATTTTAAGCTGTGTGGGTTATGCACACATATCCCAAAGAAACAATGGCAGGAGACATTAAAAACAATTAGCAACCCACGAGAGAACTCTAAAAAAAAAAAAACGAAATATAAATAGACATACGCTTCTGCTCGATTTTTACACAAAAAAGAAAATAGGCTTTACTTGAGCCTGTTAGAAATCGACAGATGTAGTAGAAACGACATCATGAGTTCGTTTAGACAGAATAATTAAGTAATCAAATGGTTTGGTTTAGTTTTCCAAAATCTCAAAGCCTGTGAACTGGTAGTCATTTCATAAATAAAAAATTAGTCGACAACTGGATTCACTCACCTCAAAAAGCCCACTTGGTACCACTGCGACTTCAAAGAAACACTGCTGCTCTTCTAGTTCCTACTGTCACAGATAAAAACGTCAAATATACCAACTTCTCTGTTAATCTTCCTTCATCTCATGAACATATGCACATGAACAAATCATTTATCAGCATATACTCTCTTTTTAACACATTCGTACTTCAGTCAGTTAAGTGCCAGACATGATACACGCTTGGTCGGTCATGTATCATACGATACATGACTGACGAGGCAGATTTTTCCCGCATTTTCTTTCTGCAGTAGACTGGTTGCCAAACAAGGCTAAAGACCTGTCTTTCCTGCTATTCAACCCATATTTGGGGGGGAGAAGAGATGGATTCATACCTTTCCCAAGGGTATTTGTGCGTAAGTGAATCTCGGCTGGAATTTGAACTCGGTCCTACGAGTTTCCACTCCTAGCCGATATCCATTATATCAAAACGCACATACAGTACCATTTTAATTGAAATAAGGCCAAGCTAAAAACTGTAAACTTCAAATAGCATTTTTCTAGAAGATTTTCATATAGTTTCATAAATATACATGTTGGGTTTATTGTTTTATTGTCGATATGTGGATCGAAGACTAAAATAAACACCAAAACAGTCAATCATCCAATGACAAAAAATGGTTTCTAAGTCAGAGGATCCGCGCATCCTTCCGGTTAATAAATTAATCTTTTGAAAATAAATATTTAACATTTTTCAATCAACGGGTTGCGTTTCCGCCGACAATAAAAACTGTGCTTCGCGATCCCTTTGAAGAGAATATGAGCCAAGTTTATAGACCAGACAAGCCAGTAAGGAGATAGAGACGGATATATGTGACACCAGTTCAGGACGTCGGCTTGAAAGATATTCCCTAACTCATTCATCCGTTCTCCTCATCAAGCTACGTGACACATTTTCCTCTTCACTTTCTCCCTTGCCTCTCTTTTTCACAAATACACGCGAAGAAATCACATTTCTTTTCATCTTAACAAACAAGGAACTTTAGCACTCATACACGCTGGGAAAGAATTAGTTGTAAAAAGACGAAAATAAAAATATTTTATATTTAAAACTCTTTCTCGCCTTTTTCTTTGTTGTGGGTTGATTCAAATCCACACCAAATATATGAAAGTTTACCATTATTATTTACTATATATCAACTTCATTTTTTCCATTCTTGTTGGAAGATAAACACTTTCTACCAAATTCTGTTGACTCAACATGAACAGAATATCAGATGGAATGAGCAAATTAGGCTCAGTTATTTTCAGAAAACAACTGATTTGTGCCGAAAAAAAAAAAAAAAAACGGTTTAATTAATAACAGAAAAAATAATTTTTATAGCAGTTCATGAATTGGTTCTTCGAAATTCTCTATCATGACAAATCAGTTTAATCGCAAAACTACATAAAAGTACTTTCAGAGATTTTGTGGTTAAAGGTTCATTTGGTTTTGAAGAAGATAAAATCCCTATTTTGCAACATTTCACTTGATCCATTCTCCAACCCTCTTCCGGTGATATTTTGTTTGTTTTTATCGATGCTTAATTTAGTTGGTGTAATTTTGCGTGCAGAGATCAACAACAAATATTCAATAGATAAAAAGAGTGATGATCTTTTTTTTTTGCCTTAATCTGAAAAGAGCCGTATATTTGCGGAGTTGTAAAATTAGAAAAATTAATGATATATGAATATGAACTTTCAGAATGTAGGCGATCAGAGCTCTTCGCAATTTCCTGGCTTTTGTCGTCTTAAGTAAATTCTGACCCTTTTCTCCCCGTCTTTGATTTTCTTCCATCAATTCATTCAAAATCATTAAATCGCTTACTCACTGTTTCTTCTGCTTTTCTTGCCTTCAGTATGTTTAGTAGATGTCAAATCTTAAGGAAAGGACCACTAAAATCGTCAAACTAATGAAAAAGAATTAAAATCAATATCTCTTATTTTATTACTAGCTTATTGCATTCTACTATTGTGGAGAGGATAGATTTTTCTATTAATATATCATTATTATTATTATTATTACTAGTTTTAATTCATCTTATCATTGTTGACTTTTCAATGCTCACTATTGTCAATTTAAAAAAAGTCAAACTTTATCTGCCATATATCTGAGATGAGGTATTGTAATTATTTACACTATTTACATTGTTTGGACTGTTGTCCTCATCTTTATTGCCATATTCACCATCAACTTCTGTCTATATTTCTGAAATGAGGTATTGTAATTATTTACACTATTTACATTGTTCGGACTGTTGCCTTCATCTTTATTGCCATATTCACCTTTAACTTCTGTCTATATTTCAGAGATGAGGTATTTTAATTATTTGTATTATTTAAATTGATCGTACTCTTGTCTTTATCTTTGTTGCTATAATCACGACGTTTCAGCCATTTTACGCTCCGGCCTTTTTCAGATGATTGAAATTTTGAACTGAACCCTTTAGTTCGTCCCAGTGAATAAAAGCTTTGTTTGGATCCAGTGACTTGACCGAAAAGAGTTTTGAGACATCCGGAACAGGTATGGCACGAGGAACTAGAACAATCTACACCGATGGACGAAATAAAGGTTTTCGATCGAAATTCCAGTCACCCGAAGTTGGCTGGAGCTTACAACGGTCGAAACGTCGTGAATATGGCAACAGAGATGAGGATAGCAGTCCGAACAATGTAAATAGCTTAAACGAGTCAGACTTTTTCTTTCTTCTTCTTATTGATTCTGATCAATACATATTGTGTCAATGAACTTTTCCTCAACTTCACCAGTTTGGTTCCAAATCATATTTTACTGGAAGCTAATTAATTATTTAAGATTTTTTGGCTATTTACTAGAATGCTTGAGGAGCTCCTTGAGTCTGAGTGTTGTGATAATAAGCTATACTCAGTACACGAGAGAAAACCATAACTAAATTTGTAATAGTGAAAATTGTTAATCTAAAATGTAACCATCATATAATGAAGTCAAATTACACCCTGGTGCAAATTAATCGAAACAACCGCATTAGTTTACTTTCTTTCACCATCCGGTCAGTTTTAGACCTACTGTAGTGACAGTGTGTAATCGACATCTATTTTTCCAAGTATTAGGTCATTTGCAGTGGTGTGCACACTATGAATCTGTTTTCGGGCTGTATGATGAAATTTGTTTGGCTTTGAAAAATATAGTGTCATCCGTGATTACATCAGATTTTCATCTCGCCCAAACACTATTGTCTCGACTGTCGATTAGTTGTCCTACAGCCATTGTCTGCAATGCACGTTACTCCAAGGAAGCGTACGAAAATTGTAACGCTGCACGAACACACTGGCAAACCTTACCAGTGAGCAAATCAAAGTACTATAGACTGGCTCTGAAACTCTCCTGATTTAAATCCAATCGAGAATCTGTGGTCAATCTGTAAGGAACGACTTAGTGGGATGGACATACGAAGTACTTACATGTGCACTGGGCCATGTTTCATTGGAAAAATACGAAAAAAAAAGTAAATAATAATGGAATAATTCGTTTTGTTTCAATTCATTTGCACAATGGTGTTGTATGAGCAGATATTGTTAAATCATCAGCTCCACCTATTTTCCAAAATCTGACTAAATAAGAAAATATTATTATTACTTTTCAATGCGTTTTTAGCTGTGAGAAATTATCAGCATTCCCTCGTCATAATAACCTAATTGGGCACCTCGAAGTGGTGCAATGGCTAGCGAGCTTGTCTTGCTAGAACCATTAGGACTGAGTAGTGAGTTCGATCCTCACTGCGTGGCCCATACTTACGGCTTTGTGCCACATCTAAGCTACGCTTAGAAAATCAGTATAATAACCTAATAATAGTGATATTTTTTTATGTAAAAAAAACAATAATACAATGGAATTGCCCAATAAAACAAAAATAATGAAAATGCTTTATCAGAAAACAACAGCTTACGGCCACATCTCGTTGAAACACCAATACCCGTACGATCACCGAAATTAAGCAGCGTTGAGCTTGGTCAGTACCGAGATGGGTGACCGTTTAGGAAGAGCAGAAAGTG